CAGGGGATGCCAGTGGGATGGAAAAATCTATGTAGGAAGTGAAGGCCTAACCTGGTATCTGCCTGGTGTTGTCAGGGGACTTCATTGTGCCTAGTCAATGAGGGGGGACCATGTGATGTCAACAGATCGGAATGCCTGGGTGCTGGGAGGGTATATAAGTGTTTTCCCCCTTGTTAAATAAACAAGTCTGCTATATCCCTTTCACAGGGCTCCCATCAAAGTGTCCGTTGATGTTGCGCCTTCTCATCCCCTCTTCCAGGAAGATGTTAGGACCCAGCTACACAGGCTTGTTGGCCAGCCAGCCTACTTCCCTGGTGTATTCCAATGTAGCGAGAGAGCACGTATCCAGAAAGAGTTGGATAAAATCCAAGGCACAACATCCAAAGTTGTCCCCTGGCTTCTACATACACACGTATACATATGCAGATACTTGCATGCAAATGTACCCACACAAGGACACACACTCACACCATTTATCGTCAGGTTGAAATGGTTCTGAGAATAAAAGATGGCTACTCTTAACAGCAGCTCTGAAGTGGGGGTATTTTAGACAAACTGAGAGGTAGTCACACCTATATCTAATTTTTTTAAAGTTGAAAACCAGTAAGTATACACAAGTTTCATTTAAAAGTTATATCTGTGGGGGCTGGATAGAAGGTTCAGGGGTGAAGAACAGTTGCTGGGGTGCACTCCTAGCACCCACATCAGGAAGCTCACAACTGCCTATAACTAGTCCTAGGTGATCTGACACCCTCTTTTGCCTTCCAGGTACACAAACATACAAGCAGGCAAAACAGATATAAACATAAAATTATGAATTATTAACCTGAAATTCACATTTAAGAGGCAAGTGAGCAAGGAATTAATGCCCAAAAGGCAATATAGTATAGACTAGAATGTTTAACTTTGTGACCAAACAGCTTGGGTTGAAATCCCCACACCGATACCTACTTAGTCAACCTTTGGCATGTTTAGACATCATGCGACACCCACTGTGAGTTTTTAGTTGCTTAACTTGTCACCTAAAATTCAAGTTAAAGATGTAATTTCATTTTTAGGACTTTTTTTTTCATTTTATGTATGTGTGTGGGCCTTAATAAATGTATGCGCACCACATAATATTTCAGTCCAAGTGTGTGTCATGCAACATTTGTGGCAAGATTTACCCTCTCTTCTTAATTACCCAAAGAGCTTGCACATCATATCCATATAACTGTGTGTGTGCACATCTACCTCTTGACCATACTCCTACAGTGTCAGCTGAAGCATCCTATCTGGTCGGGTAGCTCAGAGCTCTGCTCTCAGCTGAGGCCATCCTCTGCATCCAGGGTCCCCAGTGCGTTACCTCCCAGCTATGCTGCAGATGAGCAGATCAGCCTGTCTTCCATCTACCTGTGAGTATCTTTTTGTATAATCAGGTGAACGTTGCGGGCACTCAGTACTGTCATAAGAATATTTAAAGAGATCTATTAACTCTAGTTGGGCTAGAATAGAGACTCCAGGGAGGTGTGATTTGGTTACCTATGTTTCTGTGCAGAGAGAAAGGGAGAGTCTACTATGGAATGATGGTGCTTATAGCTCACACACTCCAATGGTATTAGAGATTTCTGAGAGAAACTGCGGAGTTATCTCATTAACTTCAAAAGGATGTCATTAACTTGAAACAAACCTTGAGTTTTCCTTGTATGCTTCACTTCTGATGAGATAAAGTGCTGACCAAGAGCAATGTGGAGAGGAAAGGGTTTATTTCAACCTCCAGGCTATTGCTCATTTCATTCTTTCATTTCCATTGAGGAAAACAAGGCAAAATACGCAAGGCTGGAACCCGGAGGTGGGAACCAGAGCAGAGACCACTGAAGAATTCTGCTTCCGGACTTGTTCAGTTTGCCTTCTTGTATTTTGGTTGTAATCCTAGCCTTTAAGAGCTGAGCCTTCTCTCCAGGCCCAGTTTGCTTTCCTAGACAACCCAGGACTACCAGCCCAGGGGTGACCCTATCTATAATGGGCTAGCCCTATTGCATATGTCCCACAGACACGACCACAGGCCAGTCTGATGGAGGCAATTCTTAACTGAGGTTTCCTCTTCTCGGCTGACCCTAGACTGTGTGGTTGACAAAGACTAACCTGCAGATCGGTATTTTGTTTTGTCCTTAAGTTGCAACTGTCTACGGATCCTCCTCATTGTCTGCACATCTAAGAACTCATTTTATGTCCTTACCACAAAAAAAAAGTAAGCAAGCAGTTGGGATATCATTTGTGAAAGCCGGGTTTCAATTCCAGTTCTACTTGCGATGCGATCCTGATAGCCTTAGTTTTTATATTTATAATTCTAGAATAATGGTGTCTGCCATACAAACTTCTCAAGAAGCTCGAATATGAAGTGGTAAGAAAAGCATACCGTATGTTGTGTTTGGGACGTGAAATGCCTCTCATGGGTTTATAAGTGTGGACACAGGCTTCTAGCTAGGGACAGAGCTCCAGGTGGTGCCCAGCTAGAGGAAGCAGGTCACTGGGGAGGACCTTGAGGTTTCTTATCATAGTACCCCTGCCTGTCTTTTCTTAGATTCCTGATTGGAACATATTCTCCCATGACATGCACTGTCTGATGAGATGTCTACACACTTAAACTACAAAACAAAATGAATCCTTTCTCCCTTAAATGAATTCTTGTCAGGAATTTATGGTCATAGTCACCAAAAAGGTAATGGATATGTTATGTTATAAATGTTATTTGTGATTGACAAGTTCAAAATCTATCTTATATGTTTTTCATTCATTCCTGTACCTTTGTCTATACAGCCAGTAGAATAGTGAGCCCCCCCCCCCCCGCCGCCAAAAGATACGTATATCTGTGACCTTATTTGTAAGTTCTCTATAAGACTTCCAAGTTTCTTCAGACTTAGACCCTCAATGCAATGACAGATATACTTAGGGAGAAGTAAAGAGAATTGAGCCACAGTGCATGGGAAGAGGGGCAGCCAGATACACACAGGGACAAAGACTGGAGGTAGTTGGGACAAGTTAAGAAACACCTGGTGCCACCAAAGTTGGAAGGGACATAAAGGATTCTCCCCTAAGTTTTAGAGAGTGGCCCTGTTGACCCATTCTTCTCGGACTGCTGCTGGCCTCTGGAAATATGACAGAATAAAATCTGTTGTTTCGCGCCACCGGCCATGGCTATAAACAATGAAGAGGGCCTAAAGCTAAGCCATCAGTAAACTAAAACAGCTCACCTTGTAAGACATGTCTAGCCTCCACACCTTCACCCATCAGTCTAAGCCATGGCGGTCCCTCTGCTGGTCATCTTTTCACCCCTCCATGTGCTACAGGCACACGGTGATACGGTGTGATTCAAAGCTGAAATATAACCTTGTCAGTTCTCGACTCCTCCCCTCCACATGGCTCCTATTTCATTCCGATTTGACCCACACCTCACTTCCTGCTCTCGCTGTCCCCATTTCTTACTGGTCTCTGGCTTCCTTTGTGACAAAGCACACACACACACACACACACACACACACACACACACACCCGCCCTGGTCCACCACTCCCTGTATGCTCTTCTTTTTGTCTAGAAAACCACAGCCTGCTCTGGGATATGTTTCTGCTCAAATCTCATTTCTTACACAAAGCCTTTTCATCCCACACTCTAAGTGGTGAGCCTAAATTATGGTCCAAGTCACGTTACCCTTGTGTTGTCTTGTTGATTTTCTAGCTCACGGACTTTTTTCCTATTCAAAGGAAAGGCTGTGCACCGACACCTTGCCTGTCTTGTTCATGGCAGCCCTGCAGCCATCAATTTATCTCTGCTAAATGAATGAAGAAATCAACACACCTTACAACTATCGAGGGTGTGAGCCAAAGCGATGGAGATGGTATCTGCTTTGAGCACCGCCCTAAACAAAGCTGTTTAAAGAGTAACCCAGTCAGCCACCTACACACATTCTGAGTGGATAAGGTAAGGAAGGGAACAACCCACGGTAGCTGCGGAGTCGAATATACAGTCAGGGAGCTGCTAAATAGTACTGGTTTTCAGTGAAGCCTTGTAGAGTATTTAAAGCTGCCGAGTTCAAGAGCGGCATCGACGTCATACATATGACTCAGTCCCTGAACGGAAATTTCCAACTAAAACGAAAGCGGTAATTCTTCGTATATTGACCGCTAGGCAGCTTTCACTCATCTTGTTTCATTTGACTTTGTTACCAACCTGAATGAGGGCTGGAAAATATTATTCCCATTTTATAGATGGAAAGAAGAATAGTAGTTCTTACAAGGGGATGCTGCAGAGCAAAGGGTTTTTAGATCCAAATTAGGATGTCTGACTGTAAAATTCTTTCTTTTTCTTTTCTTTTCCTTTCCTTTTCTTCTTTTTTCCTTTCTTCCTTTTACACTTTTTCATTCATTGGTTTCTTTAACAAACGTCGTGGGAACTGTTTCAGGTGCCTATAAAATAAGGAAGTGGCTCCCGGATCTAGGTTTTTAAAAAAAATAAATAAAATAATATGCATTACTTAGGAAGAAAATCGGCAAGTAACTTGCCACCCTACTGGTGCCCAGTACCTCTCTCGGGAGGGCAACCTCTGCGACGTGGAAAGCTTTGATCCCTGCCTTGCCGGGAGGTGGGGCCGAAGGACGGGCGTGCACCCGGGCCGGTTCTGGGTGGGTGTGCGGCGGCGCGGCGGAGGCCGGCCGAGGGGCGTGGCGGGGCGTGGCGGCGACGTGGCAGCGGGGCGGTGCGGAGGCCATCTTGGCGCCGGACGCGCGCTGCCCTGGTCGTCCTCGTCCTCTCTGAGCCGGATCTCCGCGCCGGACACCCGGATCCCGACCCCGATCCGCGTGTGCAGCTTCCGCAAAGGCGCTCGCTCGGAGCCAGGTGAGCGCGGGCCTGGCGGTGACCCGCGCGGAGCGGAGCGGCGGCGACGGACCGCGGGCGAGTCCCAGGTGGGCGGGCCGGCCGGCGGCGGAGTGTGGGGGGCTCCGGGCGGCGGGGACAGGCGGCGGGCGAGCCGGGTCCTTCCCGCCGTGTCGCTCCGGCCCCTGATCCCGGCTCCCGGGCCTGCACCTTCGCCCTCGTGCACGGGTGGCCAGGCCCGCGGACCTTCGCCCGGCCAGCCCGGCCTGCAGACGTGGCACAGGCTGCCCACTGCCCAGGCCACTCGTCCCGGTGGGATGCAGCGTCTGCTCCTGGGATCCCCGCGAGTGTCCAGCGCCGTCCTGCAGGGCCCGTCACCCCGGACCCGCTTCGGCCAGCTTTGCAGGATTGCTTACTTCCTAAATGGCAGGATCTCACGTCCAAGAGTTCCTGTCACAGTAGTTTATTTGGGAGGCAGCTTTGACGCGATCCTGACACTTTTTGGCACTCCAGTGCTGTGTGAGTACTGCTTGAATCAGTGAGTGTTTAGGGAAGTTTATTTTTGGCCTCCACACAGAGTGACAGACTGCTGACCTCCGGCTGGTGGTATTCGAGGCAAACCGAGGGCATCAATAAGATCAATAGGAATAGCTTCGAATGCTCTGAATCTATCAAAAGTCCACACTCTCTTATCTCCTAGCAGTAATCGTCTATTTTCTAAAAGCAGACCTGAGTAGGTGCAAGCAGATTCGAAGAGCAGTTTGAGCAGAGCCTGAGGACGAATCTTCCAAGCTCTTTCCATCTCTTTTCCCGTAACGTTGATGCATTTGGACTACTTTTTGTTCCTCAAAAGCTCAGTCGACTTTTGATGTTTCTGTGTTGTTTATCCTAGCAGGCTTCTTTTTTTTTCTTTATTTAAGAGGGTATGCTCATGTTTGCGAAGTTTATTTTAGCATCGCATTCAAGTCATTCCTCTAACAGGAAAGCTTTTAAGGGCCGAAAGAAATTGATCGTGTATCTCAGGTGAACTCTTTTGCCCATGCAATTGCTGAGAGATCGGGGTCATCTTTAAATAGGACCTGGCTGTGGCAGGGGGTAGATAGCTCCTACCACAAGAATATGAGTGACAAATTAAGGGATGAAGGAACGGTGGTAGCAAGTGATGCAGTTGGTGGAGGAGCCTTTCTCTCAGGTTATCTGACTTTGTCCAGGTAGGGAATATGGCTAGAGTTAGCCTCTTGGCTGCCTTGTTCTTCCTCTCTTCTCAGCCAGACTTTGGTGGGCAGGTTCTCGTTTGTTCCCACTCCTCCTCAGTTTGATCCTAGCCGTCCCCTAGTCTCCCACCTTTGGGGAAAGCTCTGAGAACATCCGTAGTTTAAGCAAACCCAGGGAATCGTCCACAGCATCCCTCCTGGCTTCTCTGCAGTACGTAGTGCTGTCGTCCTTTCCTGCTTCGAAATGCTGGCCTCTGGGTGCCACGGTGTCCTCCTTTCTCTCTGTCATTCTGCTGGGTTTTATTTTCTGCACGTGGGCCACATGGCTGGAAGAAGGTTTGGTGGTAAGTAGTCGTCGTCCCTTTATCTTGGTATGCCCTTCTTGGCAGAGATAGTGCGGAGCGCGGCCTCAGAAACTGCTGGTACATCGGTGACACTTGCGGTTTGTGGTTTGTGAACTCCAGACCTAGTTGGTGTCTCTACTCAGGTGTTTCAAGGAACTTGACCCTGCTGAGTTAGAGGGGAAGGAAGCCCTTTATGACCCCACCCCAAGACATGTAAATGTCCTTAGCCTCCTGCAGAGCTTTCTGTCCTACCTGTTGACACCGCCATTCATCTGACTGACTGTGTAAACCCATGCCTCTCCACGCTTCCTTTATGGGCACTCACAGAGTCTTACCCCCTAAGTGTTTCTCAAGTCTGGCTCCTTTCTTATCATCACCTTAGTTTAGGCTACAGAGTCTCAGCCTGGCACTATGGATGTCTGGGGACATACGATTCTTGTGGGTTGTGAGATGTGCATTATGGGAATTTGAGCCACCACTTAATATGAGCAGTACCCTGTGACAACCAGAAGTTGTCATGGGAACCCTAGGGAATATGAGGTTATGATTATCTGTAGTGTAGGATATTGACAGACTTATTTGAACTTTTCTGTACCCCTGAGTGCTCTCTCTGCCCAGTGGTCCAGTATACATATTTCAGCCAAAGGAATCCTTTTTTTAAATTTTTTTTTTTAATCTTCCCTCCCCCATGGTATTGGAGGTTGAATTCAGGGCACTTGCATTTGCTAGGCAAGCATTTCACCACTGAGCTGTGACCCCGGCCCAAAGGACTGTTCAGGACACAAATAGGGATTGTCAGTGACTGGGATCAGCCTGAGTCTTCCAGTGGGTGGTGGATGGGCTGACGTCTGTGAGGTGGAAATGCCATTCATCAAGAATGGAAGTGGAGGCCGGGCGGTGGTGGCGCACGTCTTTAATCCCAGCACTTGGGAGGCAGAGGCAGGAGGATCTCAGTGAGTTCGAGACCAGCCTGATCTACAAGAGCTAGTTCCAGGACAGGCTCCAAAACCACAGAGAAATCCTGTCTCGAAAAACCAAANAAAAAAAAAAAAAAAAAAAAAAAAAAAAAAAGAATGGAAGTGGAACAGCTTCAGCGAATCTCAGGCACTTTTCTGTGTGCAGAGTGTAAAAAAGGCAAACATTAGGAGTTGCGTGGGGTATAATTTTGTTATTTTCCTTTATGAAGGGAGGAAAATGAGAGAACAAGGGAGTGTTTTGTTGCTGGCTCTATGTTTGGAGGAAGGATGTGACGTTTGCAGTGATGATGTGGTTCTGTGTCCTAACTGTGGCGATGGTGGGTGTCTGCACATGATTCAGCTTCACAGAACTGTGCACACTTAGTACACACACAGGTAACTAACAATAGCTGGAGTCCAGGGAAGATGTGCAGAGTGGTTCCTGTGGATTTCTGCACGCGGCTGTGACTGCGAATGCATAGAATACTCTACTATGTTTTTGTCTTTTGGATTTAAAAACTCAGAAGAGTTGGAATAAAAAGACAGATACTTCCTCCAGCTCGAGCGCCTTTCTGTTCATCGAAGGGCCAGCTCCTTACCTCTGTCTTGAAGGCCAGGCGTCTGGGCCCCTGGCTGCCCCTCAGTCTTGTTCTGCCATCTGGGTTTTTGTGACTGTCTTACTCCCTTTTGCCGCACGTAGCGTTTATACCTGCAGTGTGCTCACTCTTCTTCTGGAAGCTTCCCCTTTCCTTGTTTAAGTTCTTTCTTTTCTTGGCTTATGGAAGTTTGGTTTATCCTTCAGAACTGAGCTCATCTCTGAGTTGGGATCCTTCTCCAGACTTGCACTTGGAACCTTTTTTTCTGCCCAGAACGACAGTGTTCTTGGCTTCAGAGAATCCAGCCTTGGATATAGAATCCAGCCTCGGGGTGTATTGCTGTTGCTGTATTGAATTCATCGTAGGATATTGGTGCTTTTATTTGGTTGTGGCTTGTACGAGTCTCTTAAGTTGACCAGATTTTGCTTAACACTATATTCCCAGAGGCTTGCTTCAGCGCTTGGCAAACAACAGACTTTTGCTGAACATTTGTAAAATGAGGAAAAATATCAAGAGCTGATTTGGCGTTGGTTGTGTACTGTCTGAGTTTCTTTTCCTGTAGTATAAAACACTCTAACAGACAGTAAAAGCCACTTCAGAGAGAAGAGGGCTCATCTGCTTCATAGTTCAAGGGCATAGCCCACCATGGTGAAGACTTCCAGGCAGGAGCTCGAAGGTCACATGACATCAGGATGCCGGGGAGATTGATGAATGAATGCTTACAGCTGCTTGGTAGCCCTGGTCACACCGGTTGGGAAAGTTTCTGTTTTGGTTAAGTGATGGCATTCTCCTCCAACTACAGTGACCAGCATTTTAGACTTGTTTCCTGCTGTGCTCCCTCCCCCCCCTCCCCCGCTTCAGGCCCTTGACAGTGGCTGGTCAGAGAGATAGTGAGGATCAGCCTTAGTCCAGTCTCTCACTCACCAGTCTTGGACCATCCCTGGCAAAGGTTGCTTTTGATCCCTACTCTAAGTGAACAGTGAGCCGTCTGTTTTCCTAATCCAGAGACCTCCCTTCCATGGATTTTCTCAAATTAAATCTGTTCTGTCCTAGCAATTCCAACAGGGACCTTATCCATTGACTTCTCACTGGCCAATGGCTGATTTAGCCTTGGGTGAGTTGTGTAGAATTTTCCCATTGGAAACTCCTTCTTTCTGATCCTCAGCCAGATGGACCCTCAGAAATTCCAGCTCAGTGGAGTTTTCCCTCAGATCATATTGTTGGTTCCTCTCCAGAGGATCTGAAGAGATGCCCCAGTCCTTTTGAAGGTGCTCCATTATTAAGTAGGACCCCTCAAGGAAAGGGGTGGTCCTCCTTTTGAAGCATGCTTATTGTTTGGAAAGATCTCTTGATTCATCTCTCCTTATGACCATGGGCCAACACTGTTCTAAACTGCCTAGAACACTGGTTCTCAACCTGGGGGCCAAACAACCCTCCCTCCTGCAAAGGTCTCTTAAGACCATTGGGTGTATGAGATATTTACACTACTATTCCCAACAGTAGCAAACTTACAGTTACATAGCAACAAAATTTTATGGTTGGGGGTCACCACAGCAAGAGGAACTGTATTAAAGGATTGCAGCATTAGGAAGGTTGAAAACTACTGGCCTAGAAGGTCTACTGTCTCCTAAAAATATGTCTGCCTTTTGTTTAGAAAGATGACTCAGTGGTTAAGAGTACTCACTGCTCTTCCAGAAGATCTAGGTTCGATTCCCAATACCCCTATGGTGGCTAACAACTGACTGTAATTCTAGTTCCAGGGGATCTGATACCCTCTTTCTGGCTTATGTGGGTACCAGCCACCCACATAGTACACAGATATGCAGGCAAACCATTTATAAACATAAAATTAAAGCACAGTGATCTGCCCTGGGACTAAACACTTCTGCTAAACCTACACGTCTCATCATTTTCTGCAGCATGGCCTGGCTGCACTGCCCTTTGACAGTGTTGCTCCTGGACAGAGTACAACACATTGCCCTACCAGATTCAGAGAGACTTAAGCCGATGGATTATAGTCCAAAGTTTCCTACATTCCAGCGCTTTATCTTCTCGGCCTCTGCCCTGCTCCCTGCTTATTCCACTCTGCCTCTCAGGTTCTCCTGCATAGACATCATCTGCGGGGCTCACCAAATGCACGCTGAGCGAGAAGGAAAGACAGGCCAGGGGATGAGACTTAGGGCAGTGCAGCCCATCCTTATTCAGGGAGAAAAGCCTGCGGAGGGGTCTCTGCACCAATCAGAGACCACCACCAGCTTACCCGCTGGGGTAGTTAGAAGGAAGGAAGGAGACGGGGGCAGGGAGTTGCAAAGCTTCTGACTAGAGAATGGTGAGCAGTGATGGAAAGAATGTCAGGTGATCAATAAATGTCTTTCCTGGGGTCAGCAGGGCAGAGTAGCCAATATTCTATAGAGCAAGTTAATTTACTTCTAGAAATCAAATTACTGTGGTTACTGGAATTGTTTCCAATCAACCAGGATGAAGTTTACAAATGAGATGACCCTGGGGCTGCTAAACCTCCATTTTCCATTTTTACAGTAGAAGCCTGACCAGGCAATGCCCCTTACGTGGGCATCTTCCCACTTCAACAAACACAATCAAGATAATGCCCACAGCCGTGCTCAGTGGCTGTAACCCAGGTGATTCAGTGTCTGTCAGGTTGACTAAGATTAACACTATCATACACTTAAGATGAATTTTAAGATTAGTAATTTTTTTATAGAATCATACCCACCCCAGCCACACACACCTCCTCCAGATAGTGCTGTCCCCCCGCCCCTGTGTGTGTAGGTATGAGACCTACTGCAGGACATATCCCTGCAGCAAACAAACTCTTCCCCTCACAGCCATCAACCCTCTCTTCCATCAGGGCTGGGAATTTGACTGGCTTGATTTTGTGCAGGTCTTATGGCCCCGTCCTGTCTAGAAGACACCGCTTCATAGCAGCTCAAGCGCTGGCACTTACAGTCTTCCCGAGCCTCGGTGGGAGGGGTGTTTCTTAGCTGGTCCTTTTGGGGCAGAGCACTCCCATAACTTACTTGCTGCGATTTCAGTACTTCCGAGTCTCTCTGTTAACTGCCATCCATTGCAAAAAGACCTTCTCTGATGAGGGCTGAGAGCCGCACAGATTATAGGTATATAGCTGAATGCTTGGGAAGCAATTTGATTTGTGAGATGTTTTCTTACAGTTGGTGTGTATCATCATCTCTTAGGACATTGCTTTCTTGTGTCTGTTTTCTACAGTCAGCTTCTAACCCCTGAGCCCCACCATCGCATTTCATAAAGCTGCTGTGGACCAGGAGGCTGGAAGGTAACATGTTTATAAAGCTGAACACTTCCTGATTTTTAAAAACATGTTAATAGGCATAGACGACATGGAATGTATTGAGGGAAGACTATGCATTTGTAAAGTCAAGCAAATTTAACACTTAAAAAGAAATGTCAGTAGAGTAGGCCACGTAGAATGTTTGGTGAAGGAAGATGTGGAGTTTCAAAGTTAAATTAGATGTTTGCATTTTAAGCAATTTGACTGAAATTGGCATGTGACTCTTAACGGGTTTCAAGTGGCCACACTAGCTTGGCTCTCTAGTATTTGAAATATATAGCTTCATTAATGAAATGGCTACCATAAAATTATTTCCAAGTTGTAAAATATGTGTATGGACTTGTCACAGGATATTTGTGCATTAGTTTCATGCAGTGTTTTTTAATTTATTTAAACTTTGTTATAAAAATTGTTGCAAAATAAATTACACACAGAAATGAACAAGACCCAAAGACTATACCAAAGCCTTAATTAGTTATTCTTTATCAATAAAAAAAATCGGGAGTCAGATATTGGGGTAAGAACCTGGAAGATCCGAGAAGCAGGGGAACAGCCACTAGTCACCTACCTCTTCCCTTCCTTCCTCCAGAAGGGCCCGAGGTCCTCTCTCAGCTCCACCTTACTATGTCCTATCTCCTTATTTGTCTAGTCCTCCAAACTTCAATGGTTAAATTTTGGTCAGCTAGTGGCTGGATCCTCCCTCTGACTCCAAGCAAGCTTTATTTGTTAGAACACAATCAAAATATCATACAGCACTAAAGAGTCTTTTTTCAGATACCAAAAGAACCTATTTTTAAATACTGTATGTACGCACATGTGTGTGTGATATGTGTATGGGTACCTTTGGAAGCTAGAAAAGAGGGTCAGATAGCCTGAAACTGCCGCACAGGTAGTCGGGAGCTGTCTGATTGGGCACTGGGATCTGAACTCGGGTCCCCTGCAGGAACACAACTGTTGTCACCTGATGGGTCATCTCTCCAGCTCTGAGGAGCTGTGACAAACCCTTCGTCTAGACATTGCTGTATTATAAGGATTACAGACAGATTGCTTCTTTCTGATCATCCTTAATTGTTCTCTAACTATGTGAGCTGCCACCCCTGTGCAAGCTTATCGTGTTTTTCTGTCTTTGCAGGCCACCGTAACTGAGGGAAGATGATGGAAGAAAGTGGAATAGAGACCACTCCACCTGGAACCCCTCCCCTGAACCCTGCCGTCCTGGCCGCCACCATGCCCTCCACTGAGGTTCACTTAGGTGGGTGTTGTGCCTAACCTCTGCTGGGTTGGAGAAGCTGGGAAAGACTCTGGTCTCTGTTTGTTCCTGCTTTGCTAGTCTTGTCTGTGTTCAGAGAAGTAGCCCTTTAAATTTAAGCACAGCACAGCAATAGTCTTGTAACAAGCAAGGAGGCTGATGCTTGCTGCTAGCAGGCTTGCTCTCTGCTCATAGTCACTGCAGACCTAGCGGCCTTCAGAGTTCTCATCTCTGATGTCCTAGGACTTTATGGGGATTAATCTTTTCGAGGTGTTAGTGTCTAGGTTTTTATGTTCAAATCGGGGCTGAAAACTGACCTTCTTGTCTAAGAAACAAAAATGAAAAGGAAGGTCTGCTCTTGGACGGTGCCATCCTCGAGTTACGCTGTTTATCCGGTGGATAAGCGCGGGGCCTGCACTCAGGTACAAGTGTTATGCTTTGGAAATTACACCTTTAAAATTAATTATTAAGATTTGGCTTACCACATTAAGAATTTCCCAAGCAGTGAAAGTTTGAAAACGAGATGAAAAGCTTTTTCAGCCTTGTGTGTTTATCCTCTCTGCCTTTTTTTTTTTTTTTTTTTTTTCTAGCTGCAACCAGTTCCTTCTCATCTCCCAATGTGTCTGGGATGGAGTCCCTGACACCACATGCCTATTCCACGCCTCAGCCATCCCTGCCCCCTGTGCAGCCGTCAGCACCCCCTCCTTTTGTGCCGCTGTCTACAGCTCCGTCGGCTCCCCTGAGTGGCACTTCTGTGCCACCCTCCGTGTCTCCGTCCCCTGCCATGGCCTTCAGCAGCCCGCCTTTATCCTCCTTCCCACCTGCGACTTCTGCCTCTGGTGCGCTTTTATCTGCGCCCCCTTCGGGTCCTCCTATATCAGGATTTTCTGTCGGTACCGCTTACGACATCACAAGGGGCCATGCCGGGAGAGCGCCCCAGACACCGCTGATGCCGTCCTTCTCCGCACCCCCAGTCACAGGTGATCTCTTACTTTCCTCAGTACTCAGCTGCCTTTGGTGTTTTATTGCCGTTTGCCGGCTTTGAGTTGTGCTGGGCTGTGCTTTGTTTACTAGACACTGATTGAGGTGCATGGTATAGTAAGATTTTAGTTTATGGGTGGATTTGGGCACCTCCTGCTCCTGGGGCTTTGCTTTCTCGACATTCATGATCTAGGCTCTCTCTGACTTCCAGAGTTTCCCACGCTCATCTTTTTGCCACTTAAATTATTAACAGTAAAAATAGTATAACTTACTGTGTGGTTTTTGTGTGGTATAAAAATTCATGTATGAGGCCGGGCGGTGGTGGAGCACGCCTTTAATCCCAGCACTCGGGAGGCAGAGGCAGGTGGATCTCTGTGAGTTCGAGGCCAGCCTGGTCTACAAGAGCTAGTGCCAGGACAGGCTCCAAAAGCTACAGAGAAACCCTGTCTCGAAAATCCAAAAAAAAAACCAAAAAACAAAAATTCATGTATGATTGACATTTGAGGTGTGAGAAAGACTTCTCATATTCCATGCTAATATTTGTTACTTACTGATAGGCTGCAGGTTGTAATCCAAGAGAACCAACTTCCCTAGGGAGTACATTTTATCTAGCCAGTCCATGAGCCAGAAGTGGTGATACCAGGCCATTTCTTTTCTTAGGCCAACTACATTCCCTCAGTCCCCTTCTGTAGTATGGTTATGGAAACAAATTATCAAGACCCAGTCTTTGTTGTCTCCTGTTCATGGTTTTAGGGCAAGGAGCACTTCAGCTTTGATTATTTAGTATCCAAGTTGACCTGTCTATCTTTCCAAATAAAAATTTATTACGGAGCATAGACATTACATGCTTACGTGTGTTTACATGTGTTGTAAAAAGATTTATTTAGTGTGTGTGAGTGTATGTATGGCCGTCCTATGCGCACATGCATACAGACAGTCTAGGAGGCCAGGAAGTTGTTTTATCGGCTGCCACTGGAGTTACAGGTTGTTGTGAAGTCATCGAATGTGTCTGTTGAACCTGGGTCCTCTGCAGGAGCTGATAGCAGGAGTGCTATCAGCTGCCGGACTTTCTCTCCAGCCCCAATGGGTCCAAGTTTTTCTTTGGAAGTATATGGAGTATGTATGGTGATTGTTGTTGTTTTTTTTTTTTTTAAATGATGGGCTGAGTACTCAATTATTTTTATGGATTAAGGAGATTAGAAGTCCACCTGTCATCCAGATGCTGAATAGGACAAACAGGAACATGCACACACACAGACACCTGAGTGTGTGCATGTGTGCTTGTATTTGTTGTTTTTCTGGACACTTGGTATAAACCTGTGTAAAGGGGAAAAGACCTCTTGAGGGATTTTTGCATCTTGTTTAGAGAGGTCTGAGTTAATAACTTCATCTTTAGGTGTTCAGTAGTTCTGTGGGTGGATTTGTCTTGAGCTTCTCATATGATACATCTTTTTATAGGAAAACATTTGTGGAATAAATGACCCAACTAAATGTTTTGCCATTGACTAGGTATTCTGCCAGCCCCTATTACTCAGCAAGCCAGTATGACATCTCTGGCACCGGGACCTGGAACCACATCAGCCATTACTTTCCCCGAGGAGCAGGAAGATCCTAGAATTATTAGAGGCCAGGATGAGGCACCTGCCGGGGGAATCTGGGGCTTTATCAAGGTAAGGGTGTTTGTCTTTCAAATCACAGTTCAGTTGTAAAACTGACAGGGTATCCGGTAGAGAAAGGCAGTACAGGGTAGGAAGACATGCTCTGAGAACACAGTATGGCGTAAGGGAAAACAAGCCCCTTAAGGCCAGATTTTTGTAGTTGATGCTTATCTTTCGTCTATGTGTGTCTACCCATGTACTCATTCTCTTAAGAGAATCCAGATGGATTAGTGATGTGGGCTTTGTGTTCTTTGTCTTTTCTAGAAGACTTCATTTGTTGAGATAGGAGCGGCAGGGCTGCGTCCCCGGCACCCGGCCGCCCACATGGCTAGCTTATGCCTAGAAATAATTACACGGAAACTGTATTCTTTCAAACACTGCCTGGCCCATTATCTGTAGCCTCTTGTTGGCTAGCTCTTACATATTGTTCTAACCCATTTCTAATATTCTGTGTAGCCCACGAGCTGGCTTACCAGGGAGGATCTTAACCTGCGTCTGTCTGGAGCGGGAGAATCATGGCGACTCCTCCACTAAGTTTCTTTCTCCCAGAATTCTCTTCTGTTTTCTCCACCCACCTATGTTCTAACCAATAAAATGGGCCAAGGCAGTTTCTTTATTATTATTAACCAATGTCCTTCCTCCATCATTCATTAATGTCCTCCCAGCTATAAAATTGTCTGTCCGTCTTTGTTTCTTGTGTATTTGGGGTCTGCATATGTTTGTATGTATGTATGTATGTGCACAGGTGTGTGCGTGCGCATGCGCGCACTTGCGCATGTGAATGTGGAGGTCACCATAAGGGGTCTTCCTCTGTTCTCCACATTATTTTCTGGGACAGGTCTGTCACTGAATTTGGAATTTTTCAATTCACCTTGCCAGTGATCCTGTCATCTGTGCTCCATCCCAGTGCGAGGGCTCTCAGACACGTACTGTAGCGCTGCTTCTTACATGGTGCTGGGTTCTGCATAATCATGTTTTATTTTATAAATCTGTTATCACTATTATCCTGTTGTAAGTTTTTAAGTCATTTTACTCTCTTTAATTGAGAAAAATGTGTAAACATGTACATTTTTTGTTGTTTTGGGGGGTAGTGTAGACTGAACCTGGGCCTTACACACACTGGTAAGCACTTCATTACTAGCCTGATCCCCAACTCTTTTTTTTACTCTCAGTCTTAGAAAGGCTCACTTAGTATCCCGGGCTGGCCTAAAGCTTGCAGTCCTCCTGCCTCATCCTGGCTTGTAACAGGATCACAGGCCTGCACCCTTAGGCCTGATTAACATGACACAGCTGCTGAGCCATACAGCGGTCCCTTCTGATTCTAATTCTTAGAAATAAAACTACTCAGCACTCTTGTAGGTACATCTTGGTAGGCATCTCTGACATCATTAGTTCCTGACGAAAGCTTTGTGATGCCCTAGAACTTCCTGTATGTTGTCTTTCAGCCACACCAGCACATGTTGTTCCGTCATTGCTCACACAGCCGCAAAGGATGTTAATTTGAAATATTGTTTTTCTTTTTTCTGATTCAATAGACAAAAACATTTGAAACTTTTTTTTTTTTTTTTTTTTTTTGTGCCTGAGTACGTGTGCGTTTGAGAGAGAGACAGAGACAGAGAGAGAGGAGTCCTTGGGTTGAAACACAGTGGCTTATGAGTGATGTCTACCATATATATATTGAGGTCCACTTTCTTGCTGTATCTAGAGCTTGTGGTTTGAACTGGCCTGGCTTGCCAGCTTGCTCTGACTCTCCATCCTGAGCATTGGGATTACATATGGCCACACACCCATGTGTGTGGGTTCTGGGGATCCCAACTCTGGTCCCCATGCTATGCAAGTGTGTTACCTTATAAGCCAAACTCCCAACCTTGAAACCATGTTTAATTTTTCATTTCTTTGCTATTAATTTTGGCCTTTCTTTTCTCCATGAAATTTTGTTGTCTGTATTCTCTGTTCATCTTTACCCACTTTGAAGCTGGGAGGCTTGCTTCTCTAAGTGAGTTTGTTAAGAACTCTGGCTAAGGCAATGCTATTTTAAGATGCACACGTTATGGCCTTTCCCACTTTGATCTGCATTTTAATTTTATTATGCTTTTTTTCTCACAAAAGTGCTTGTGTTGAGACGCCATTTCTGTGCATCTCTTTCAGTTCTGTGTGCAGAAAGAATACCTTTGCATTCCATCTAGGTTTTTAACCACTTCAGTTCTAATCCTGAGCAGCTCCGTGTAGCTGATGTGTGTTAGTACACCGAGTACAGCAGAGCTGAAATTTAAGTGTTTTCCAGCCTCTTAATGGAGTATTATGAGGTCATTCCCTCAGTGACCCGATGTCCCCCTTACTTTGTTTACTAAATTACACATTAGTGTCCGTCTTTGTCTTTTATCCCGTTGAACCTGACTCTGTAATAGTAGCACACCATTTAAACTGTACTTAGGCTTGGTCATTCCACTGATGCGTGCTGAATGCTTGCTGTGTGCCCTGGTTCCGGCTCTGTGAGCCTCTAATAATGTTTTCTCTTGACGTTCACTTTGCTGGTTTTCCCACTTTTTTCTTAAGAAAAAACAAAATTTTGAACTCATTCTGTCAACTTCGTCCCAGGGTTTTGCCGAGAAGCCGTTCAGTTTCACTACATACATTAAGCATAGTTTTAACTAAGTGGTTAATATGGTCATGTTTCAGGAATCTGTTCTTTCTACACTTTTATGTTTCGCTATGCTGTGAAATCTTTTCTTATATAGAAACTACAGCCTTCTTCCTGCTTTGTAAAGAGACTGTCGGTTGCTGATGTAATACGAAGTTCAACTCTCTGGGACTTGTCACAATAGTAGCAAACATGACTTTATTGTGAGGCTGCCTGACAGCTCATGGTGCTGTTGGGCTGAAGAATCCAGAAGGAAAAGCCACCTGAGGAAGAGGGCTTGGGAATGGGGACAACAAGAAAAGGAGCTTGGGTAGAACATGTGAAGGACAGAGTTACACATTAAGGCAGTCAGGAGCTATTCTGAGGGATAAAGGTGAGAAATATTTTTTACTGCCTTCATTTTTTTAGGAACAAAGTGTGGCCTTATATAGACACATGGCTGCAGTCCTCATTTGGAGCCCCAAGGGACAAATCTTCCTATAAATGTATTTATAACTAAAGCACACTTTTCAGACTAACACTTCGAGCAGTGTTGCCCCAGAGCCCTGCACAGGCTGCCTGGCCTGCTTTCTGTGCGAAGGGAAATGGCCAAGAGCACAACTTAGAATCGTAGTAGGATTTGACACCGATTGACCTCATTTTACGCAGAGATTCCAAAAGTACCATTTACATTTTTTAAAAAAAATTGGTGTACCGATGCCTGGGAAACTTAAAAAGAAAAGTTTCCTGTGTTGGTCTCACTGGTAACCACAGCTGTCGTGAGCATGGTTGCAGTAACCGGCTGTGTTTGGGAGGCACCATTTCATAACACTCTTTTTCAGCCTTTGGCTGTCACGATTTTCCCACCTCCTTTTCTGTGATGTTCCCTGCTCCTGGGAAGTAGTGTGGTTAATACTGGTGTCCCATTTAGGGCCGAGTGCTCACCTCTTATTCCCAACACCGTGAGCAGCTGTGCAGCTCTTCAGCGACAAACATTTAAGCGTAGGTGTGGTAGAGGATCTCCAGGCTCTACCTGGAGGAGTCACTGGCAGTGAACAGTAGCTGAGGGAGGGAAGATCATTCTTCTTTAGGAGGTGACCACTGGCAAGTTGCCTGTGCTCCAGGGGATGTCCCCACATCCGTGCACGTATGTGCAGCATGAACTGACATGAAGTTGAGAGTAGTGTGTTGAGACACGAGGGAAAGGGGGTAGAATGATCATACTTAATTATTTTCATGGATGAAATTCTCAAAAATAAAGTTTTAAAAAAGTTTTGTCGTGTTTATGAAAGTCAAGGTATTCTGGTATTCTTTGCTTGAACGGAACATTTGAATCTTGCTTTGTCCAGGGCGTTGCTGGGAATCCTATGGTGAGATCTGTGCTTGATAAGACCAAGCATTCGGTCGAGAGCATGATCACGACGCTGGACCCCGGCATGGCTCCCTACATCAGTATGTATAGAACTGAGCCCAGTGTCGGCCACATTTCTAAAGTGTTCCTCAGTTTCACCCACAATTGTAGTTTCAGTTCATCTCTGTCATGTAATTATAGAAATTCCTCCTGTGCTCTTAATTCAAATTCATTCTCAGCCTCAGTTTTGCGTAACTAATTTATCTTTTGCTTAATCATCATCATATAAGTTTTAGAACTTCATAGTATGAACTTTGGAAAAGGGAAGGAGTAATTTGATTGTGGGTGAACTTTTCTGTGTGTCCCAGCAGCTGCTCCCAAATAATCATATAGAGACTTAATTATAAATGCTCAGCTGAGAGCTTAAGCTTGGTACTAACTAGTGTGGTGTGGCATGAATAATAAAAATCCAGAGACAGTATTGGGATTCAAGCTGAAGATCAGAAAAGCAAAGCGGCCAACCACTGGCTCTTACCTCTACTTCAGACTGAAATGGGTGATCCTGCCTCCACAAATCTTCACACTGAGACTGAGCATGAGACCTGCTTCCTCCCTTCTTATAGTCTCTAGTGCTGGGATTAAAGGCATGCACCATCACCACCTGGCTTCTATGGCTAACTAGTGTGGCTACAGGGATGAAAGGTGTGTGCCACTACTGTCTGGCCTGTATGGCTAACTAATGTGGCTGCTTTGCACTCTGATCTTCAGGCAAGCTTTATTTATTAAGACACAAATGATATACCATTATAAACTAGCTCTTACATTTTAAATTAAAACCATATTTCTTAGGGTTAGCTCTTACACTTATAAATTAACCCATATTTTTTTTATCTACACTCTGCCACGTGGCTTGGTACCTTTGCTCAGCTTCTTCTCTTTGTGTTCTTTTTGTCTGCAAGTTCTGCCTAACCTCTACCTCATGCAGCTGTTGGCCAGTCAGCTTCTTTATTAAGCCAATCATAGTGACATAAATTCACACAGTATAAAGGCATCTTCCACGTTTCCTCCTTTCTGTCTAATTAGAAAGGGTGGTTTTAACTTAGTAAAATTATATACAACAAAACCAGTTATCAAGAATTATAATAGCTAGTTCATTTGTATTTGGCAAATTTAGAGAAAATACTGTCTATCTTACCTTTGTGAGTCTAAAGATTTATACCTAATTTACCTGCATAACTAAGGAAATCTTTTAATTATGTAATCTTTAATTCCCTCAAAGAACCCAGAAGGGTATAATGTTACCTTAAAACAGGGACATCTGACTACCTGGACAGTCACCCCAGTTTTTTGTAATATTGGGGCATCGTACATGCCTAGTATAGCTGACCAACATTTTTGAGAAACAGGGAGTTTTGAAGGATTGTCCTACCTTGTCTTGGCTAAGTTTGGCAGTCGTCCTTTTTGTCCTGCTGGTTCATACTCTCAGAAATTAAGGCAAGGGCAGTTTCTTTTCCCCAAATGATAGCTTTTACCATAAAGAAAACAAACTCCATATGGGTTTTCTTCATTGCCCATCATCCTCTTTTGAAGCAAATTGTTGCTGTCAGGAGCAGATATATTTCACTGTCATGAAAAGCCTTAGGTTATTAAACATATTGAATGCCACATTCTGTAGGTCTTTGAAGTGTTTGAAGACCGTTTATCTGTCTAAATATATCTGCGTATGACCTTGAAACCACACCTACTATGGCGACAGGTGTGATATTATAGATAACTGACTACTAACTTGTACTTTAATTATACATTACATTTTTAATGAGTGATATAAGCACAATGCCCCAAACAAGAGTAGAAACCACACATACAGTATAACAAAATTAACCTTAAATTTGTGCCATTAAACCAAAATCCATACCAATGTAAACTATTGAGATTAATAGTTGTCTTTTGAATTAAAGTAGATTCAATAATCTACCTTTTTATCTCATCATTTTTATATCATATTGCCCTTCTTTTCCTTTAGAAAGAGATTTTTGAATTTAATTTTTTTTTGTCTAGCTTTTTTTTTTTTTTGGCTGGGATTAAAGGTGTGTGCCACTACCACCCATCCAGAAAAATACATGAACTTTTAAAGATAACATACATATCTGTATTAATACAAATTGTGTTGTACACAAGTTAGTCAAAGATGATTTTTTTGTTTTAGTTTGAGTAGATAAAATATAGTTTATGTGTTTTGTAGGGTTTTTTTTAGGTTTACTTTATGTTTGTAGCCAGGATTTTCAGGGGATCTTCCCAGATCAAACCTGATCCATATCAACTTGGGATGAATGCACAGCCTCTACCCCAAAGCAACACACTTTTTACTTCCATTTTGAAGTCAAGATATTTTTAAAATATATAGGTTGGTTTAATCCAGCAGTTTCCGTAATGCGGTGTGTCTTAGCAGCTGTCATTTATTCATCAGCAGTCAGAGAATTCAAAGACAACAATAACATCCAGACTCCCCATGTGTTTTCCATCTTTGCATGCATTTTTACCATTATATTACTTTATTCCTTCTTTGAATATTTTTTTCAAGATTTATTTATTATATATACAACATTCCTTCTGTGTATGCTTGCATGCCAGAAGAGGGCACCAGATCTCATTATAGATGGCTGTGAGCCACCATGTGGTTGCTGGGAATTGAACTCAGGAACTCTGGAAGAACAGTCAGTGCTCTTAACCTCTGAGCCATCTCTCCAGCCCATATTTTATTATTTTTAAACTATTTTTTCTATGACTGTCTATATCATTTCTCTTTGTCTCACGAGCTTATGTATATAGTAGACACATTGTAGCCCATTTAGGTTTTTTTTCCATCTGGATCTGTCTTCACTTCCTGACTGTAATCCTTTGTTTGCATGATAAAACTTACCCGCCCCACCCCCCCGTGTGGCTCATTGTGTGCTGGCAGGGCTCACTCTGGCAGTGCTCTTGGCTAGTATGAAAGACTTGAGAGTGGGAAGCCGCATGTGGCTTCATTTTTGTGTTTAGAATCTTTGTGAAGCTTTCTCAGGTCTTAGGTGGATGTAGGTGTCAGATGTTTGGGCGCCATTAGTAGGTGGACTTTTCTGTGTGTTCAGCAGCTGCTCCCAACAGAGACTTAATATTATATATGCTCAGCTGATACCTTAAGCTTTTTACTAACTGGCTCTTACATTATAAATTAACATTATCTGTGCTCTGCCATGATTCCTTTTCTCAGTATGGCAAATTCATGGTCTCAAAAATCAGCAAAATACAAACAAATATAAAAACCCAAAGAATCCTTTATGTTTGTAGCCATCCAAAGGACTCATAAGTTTGACTTTACTCCATGTATTTATTTTCATATTTACATATCCATACCAGTCTAGTTGGAGATACTTAATAATTACATATTTCTTTACTTCTTGCATATATCTTTGACATTATAGAATGAGCCCTTTTGGAGCTCTTGCTGTTCCATTGGGCATACTATATTAGAAGTCAGTTCTTAGAGCAAGACCACTGAGATGGCAGATGTTTTCCTACAAAGAAACCAGCCCTATCTTCCTCAGGTAATGAAGCTGGTTAATGAGAAAGTGTAGAATTCAGCTGTTGAACTCTCCTACTGGTACCCTCTCCTAAGGTTGTTTGACTGTAGAAGACTGCTTCAGACAGAGTTAATGTGTTCTGGAGTGTTCATAGAATACTGAAGAACTGTGCTCCGGTTACCACAGGTGACTTGGAGCCAGTAGGAGGTGTGTGCCAGCCTCGGCTTGTGAGAGAGACTGCAGAGAATGTGCTGAATTCCCATCCCTAAAATGCAAGGGAAGTTGGTAGTTTGGTCAGAAGGTGTGATAAAAAGAGCATTTGTGTCTGACCTGGGTTTTAGTCCTGACAATAGTGCTTAGCTTTGTTATGGTGGGTAAGGTTCTGTCAGCCTAGCTCACATGTATGAGGCTGGTAACAGTAAATACAGTGTAAGCTTATGATATGGTAGTAATTACCAGAAAGTTACTGTTAAATTTGGAATTGAAGTTCCTTTTGGTTCCCGTAGAATCTGGAGGTGAATTGGATATTGTTGTAACCTCAAATAAAGAAGTGAAAGTGGCTGCTGTCCGGGATGCCTTCCAGGAAGTCTTTGGCTTAGCTGTGGTTGTGGGGGAAGCTGGACAGTCCAATATCGCTCCACAGCCAGTAGGCTATGCAGCTGGACTAAAGGTGAGTGCAAAAGCTTTTCCAGAGTTTGCCCATAATTGTGTTAAGGATCCTGTGGTCTGTGGGGGACCACTGTAGGTTTATATTCTGAAGTGCCAGCTTTATCCTTAGTTAGTCAACACTCTAATGCTATGAAGGATATAAAGGAGTTTTAATTAAATAAGTCTCCATTGGATTTTGATTATTGGAGGAGGATGGCAGTTTCATTAAGAAAGAACAAAAAGAATAGATGATCTTGAATGGAATCTTTGTAACTTAGTATTGCCTTTCAAGTCAGTTAATGAAATTATAATATCTGTTTGGTCCCAGTAGACACACACACATACACACACTACTCTCTGTCACATTGTTACAAAGACAGAATCATTCAAGAACAAATGAAGTTGTTGAAGGCATCCAAACATTTTCCTATCCTAAAGCAGGGGAAGGAAAATCCCAACAGATTCTTTTGCCTCACTTCCCCTGTATTGATCTGTGACCTCACTTCCCCTGTGTGGTTCTGTGACCTCACTTCCCCTGTGTGATTCTGTGACCTCACTTCCCCTGTGTGGTTCTGTGACCTCACTTGCCCTAGGTGGTTCTGTGACCTCATTTCCCCTGTGTGGTTCTGTGACATTACTTCCCCTGTATCAGTGTATCATGCTTGCTTCCTTCTGCAGTAAAATTCCTGTAAGAATTTTGAATATTTTTCTACAGTTCTCTGTTGGGTTTCCAGTTGTCTAGCCCCACTTCTTCACTTCCTGTCCTAATCAGAGTGCACTTAAAGCCCACCAATAATAGGCTCACTGTGTATTTGGTTGGTCAGGAACTGTTGAGCCAGATGGTCATCTTCTCTGTTGTTTCAATAGAGTTTTAGATAGCCAGGCTGGCCTCAGACTTGCTTTGAGGCCAACACTGGCCTTGAACTCCTCCTGAGTTCTGGAATTATAGGCCTGCAGCACCATGCCTGACTTTTACTTCAGTCTGTTTGTCTCCCTGTGGCTTTTGGGTGCACACCTTGCTTTTCTCTCTAACTTCCTCTTGGCCTCTGTCTCCATACACTTACTTTGCTGACCTCATGTCGTCCCTGGCCTTAGCCAGCATCTTATGCTGATAATTGCAGCTTCACATAACTGCTAAGACTGTTCGTGAATTTTGAATTTACGTAAAACTTGCCTTTTTGACAACTCTACTTGAATATCCCAAGCTCAGTATGCCTAAAACGAAACTTTCCCTTTTTCTTATATGTAGTCTCAGTCAATGGCCGTTCTGCCCTCCGTTTTCTCACATGAGAAAGCTTGACACCAGTTGTAGAGTCTCCTTCTGTTTCTGTTCCATCATTCGGTCTTGTTTGCAAGACAGACTATAGTTTGCTGTAGTTTTTCTCTGTGAGGTTGCTGCATATCATACTAGTCATTATGGTACTCTTGCTGTGAAGGGGGAAAGGATTAGGTCACTGTGGGCCTCTGGCCACAGTGTTTTTGGCCAGGCTGTCAACACAGAAGTTTTGTTGTTGTTGTTTGTTTAATGTTTGATTCTGTTTAGCTACAGCTGTATATGTCAAATAGATGCTGGTATGTATATACATTATAATAAAGTCATAGCCAGCAGTCCTGTAACCCCTGTTGGGATGCAGTTTATTTAGCACACACGTTTTTCTCCTAAAGTATTTCAGAGCCCTCCAATGCTTAGCCTCAGATAGCACTTCAGTATTACACATGGCACCATTTGAAATGGTGGCAACTTTTTATTAGGATTTTTTTTAATACTACAATCTTTCTCATTTTACATAGCTTTCCCCATTACCACTCCTTCCCCTTCTCCCACTTCCTCCACCTTCCCACACCCCACCTCCATATCCACTCCTCTAAAAGGATAAGACTTCCCTTGGGGAGTCAACAAAGACTGACACTCCACTTCGAGGCAAGACCAAGGCCCTCCCCCATATATCTAGGCTGAGCAAGATATCCCTCCAAAAAGAATGTGCTCCTAGATGCCAGTTCAAGCACTAGGGATAAGTCCTGGTCCCACTGCCAGTGCCCTACAGAGTGCCCAAGCCTCACAACTGTCCCCCACATTCAGCAGACCTAATTTGGTCCCATACAGGTTTGCCCACTATCAGTCCAGAGTCAGTGAGTGTTGACTGAAGTTTTCTGTTCTGCCCAGTTCCACAGCCGTCAGCCCCAAAGAAATACACAGAGGTCTACATTAATTATAAACAGGTTGGCCTAGTAGCTCAGGCTTCTTATTAATTAATTCTTATATCTTTCATTAACCCATTATTCTTGTGTGTGTTAGCCATGTGGCTTGGTACTTTTGTCAGAGAGGGATTCTCATCTTGCTTCCTCTACAATTGTTAACAACTGCAGACTGAATCTTTCCTCTTCCCAGAATTCTCCTGTTTTCCTCACCCCACCTATACTTCCTGCCTGGCTACTGGCCAATCAGTGTTTATCAAAAATAATACAAGTGACAGGATAAAAGACCATTCTCCCACAGCACTCCCCCTCTTTACAAAAAAAAAAAAAAAAAAAAAAAAAAAGAACTCTGAACCTAATATCCTTTGTTTACGTTTTCTCCTGACCATTATCCATAACAACTTGTAACCAACATTCTAAACAAAGGCAAACATCCATAATTCAGGGTTTTTTGGGGGAGGGGGAGATGTGGGCGTAGTTTCCCAGGCTACTTCCTACTGACTGAGGGCACTGGTAATCTTATGGGGACCTAAAGAAAATTTAGAATTATCATCAAGTCCTGACTGGAGTGTACTGTGGGGCTTGATCATCTCAGCTAGCAGTCTTGAAACTGTTCTGGATGTAGAACTCAGACATCTAGGCCTCTATTCCTACCGGAGATTTCTCAGGGGGTCTTCCTTGATCAAACCTTCTTGAGACTAGGTTTCTCTGTGTATCTTTGGCTGTTCTGGCAATCACTCTGTAGACCTGGCTGTCCTTGAACTCAGAGAGATATGCCTGCCTTCCAAGTGTTAGAATTAAAGGTGAGTGTATTGTGTTAAATACCTGCATGTACTGTATAGCTAAGAATAGTATATTTAACATTAATACTGTTTTAAAAACCGGTTGACAACCTGCGCTGCTTTTGCTCTAGGGCGCCCAGGAACGCATAGACAGCCTGCGGAGGTCCGGCGCAATCCACGAGAAGCAGACTGCTGTGTCAGTGGAAAACTTCATCGCTGAGCTGCTGCCCGACAAGTAAGAGGCTCAGGGCACCCTGGGAATCAACACAGCCGTGTCTGGAGTCTCTAGGTCCTCACATGGAACACCTAGAGAAGGTGCCTCCTGTTTTGAGCCAGAGTGGGGAGTCTGCTCCGATAGTGGGACTGTCCCGTGCTTAGCTGGCTCTCTGTTCTTACTTTTCTCTTGTAACTGAGCAGTGCAGAGCGATGCCTGCCTCTCAAGCTGTGCTGACAACCACTTGAAACGTTAGGACTGAATGTAGGAAGCACACTGCGCGTCAGCCTGGCCAGGTCTAATAGAGCCCTGGGAGGAAGCACACTGCTCCCATGTGACTCACAGTGGTAGAAGATGGGCAGGAAGACTTGATGGTACACACAGGCTGGAGATGCATAGTACTATGTGTGTAGCTTTACCAAGCCTCCAGAAGCACAGTTCAGCATTGTTCTTGAGGGCTCTGTCTCTGTTTTTAATAGATTTTTTTTTCCCATAGGAAAGCCTGTTTGGATATGCTGAGTTAGTTTTTAATAAACAGCCGTGCTTTGGTGAATTCTAATTTTATATATAATCTCATGGTGTTGTGTTAATTTTTTGTTTACTTGTTGCTTAGCATTTTGTAACCATAATTTGCAAAATGTGGCCTCTACTGAGCTGGAAACGTGCTTGCCAGGTAAAAGAAGTAGAACCATATAGACCTGGTTGGTGCTCTTCAGATACTGTCGTTCGTTCATGCAGAGTTGGAAAAATTAACTTGTCTTCTTCCACGTAAGAGTAATGCCAGTGTAAGTATTCTGAGATGAACAGGTCTAGACTTTGGTCTTAGTTTTGGACATGTTAAGTGCACAAAAATGTTATTATAGTGTGTTAAGATCAACTTCATTGTGGCTTGACTGATGGTGGTAGGCGGTCTCTTTGTGGCTTCGGAATCTCGTGTGGACCATTCTCTGCCCTGGGAAATATTTGGGACCACAGTCCGTCACGTTCCTCCCACCTTGTCTTATACACGGGAAGAAAAGATGGAGATCCCTAGTGACCAAAAGTGATCAGCTGAGATTCTCCCCACCCCTGACCCCAGTTGTGATCCTGTTGATGGACTTTACGAAGAAGAGGGAAATCTGAAAGTTCCCTTAGCTGGCAGAGCCAGGGACTGAAATGGAAGGGCGTTGGGCACGTGGCAGGGATTGCAGGTTCATAGAGGGGATGGGAAAGCAGGGTCCCGGTTGCAGTGTCTGGTGGAGGTGGTGCTCTTTAGAGGTTGACTGGACTTCTGATTTGTGTGGCTTAGAGACTGCTGGGCTTGTAGGGCAGCTTCTCAGGATGCAAAGGTGCAGTCTCCAGTTGGGTCAGTGCAGTATCCGGATGGACACTGCCCACAGCAGACAGAACGAGGCAAAACAAGGTGCAGCTAAGCTTGGCTGCACTTTCTTGAACGAGACCTTCTTAAAACAAAACACGAGATTTTGATTAATAGTCAAGTGGAATAAATATTATTTAGTACTCATGAGTTGAAATGTTTTTATGATGTGAATGTTGAGACATTTCAAAGTACCACTTTAATATTCTGTGAAGTTGCTTATGCTGCCTTGTGTCTTATTTAGTGTTTTTTTTTTAAATGTGTTATTTCCTTATTCATTTTGTGGTTCTTTGTGCTTTTAAAATCTACTTATTTTTTAAAAGATGGAGACATTAAACAAACAACCTTGTCCATGTGCCCTTAGTGCTTACATTCAGGGTTGGTTGATATTTCTGGGAGCTAGAATTCTGATGCTATCCCAGTTATCTTAAGTGTGTTCGTGGTGCCTCTGTCTTTATAATCTGTGGGTAAGGATCTGGCATGAGTGTGCTTTCAAAGGCTGGCTCCTGGCTACAGCTGTGACTCTAAGGTTTCACATTCATGAGGCTCAAGCACACAGTTGTTTCCTCTGAACGAGTTTATTTCTTGATTTATTAGTAACACTATTAGATGGTTGCATGCTGGTGAGAGTTGGTATTACAAATTTCCCCATATTTTAGCAAGTATCATTTAAAAATATTACCCACAAGAAGCTCTTTGCATGTTCTGGTAAGTCAGCTGTGTATTTGAGAACCCCCATTCCCGTCATCCCCCACCTTAGTTCTGTTTCCTTTTTTGTTACTCTCTTTCTACCTTATTGAAATTAAGACAAAAAAGTAATTTTAGTTTTGCATTTATGGCTTGTCCATGTGCAAACTAAATAGACATTTTCTTTCTGGGAACTGTAGTACTTTAGTCTGAACAGTGAGAGGGAACTTGCTTTGCCATTTTGTATCTTCACTCTCATTTTATCTGGCGTGTGAACAGGGTGCTGCCCCCGTCCGCTCTCATTTTATTGAACATGTAAACAGTGTGCGGCTTCCGTTTCTCTTCCAGGTGGTTTGACATCGGCTGCTTGGTGGTTGAAGACCCGGTGCATGGCATCCGCCTGGAAGCCTTTACTCAAGCCACACCGGTGCCTTTGGAGTTTGTGCAGCAGGTTAGTTTCTTTGCCCATTCATGACACTCCATATTTATTGTGAGGATTATGCCCTTGATTCTTTGTCTTTTGCTGTGCTTGTCGGTTTTCTGATTGTACCATGTTGTTATTTTCCTCTTTTTTATGTTCATGGCCCCGGAATCAGAAGAAAACTGGCCTTTAAATCTATTTCACCTGTACTCCTTGTTCTCCTTTCCCTTGCTCACCTGTAGCTGTCTGGTATGGATGCAGGTGCCCGTGTGTGCCGGTGTGGAAACCAGAGGATGCCTTCCTCGGGTGTCTCAGGAGTGCTCCAACCTGCTTTGTGTTATTTTGAAACAAGTCTCTCAGACCTGAAACTCACCAGTTAGGCGAGGCTGGCTGGTTAGTTGTCCTAGGAATCCTCCTGTCTATACTTCCCCTGCACTGGGATTTCAGGCAGGTGCTTTCACGTTTGGCTTTTCTTAAGTGGGTGCTCAGGCCCTTGTCTTCCTCGGTGGTCATTACCAGTTGAGCCGTGTCCCCGGTCCCTGTTTATCTCATCTTCATTTGTATTATTTTATCTATTTCTCTTCTCCTAGATCTGATCATCTTTTTTTGTTGTTCATTTTAGTAACAAGTCAATATTTTAAAAGTTAAATGAAAGCCAGTATGGTAGTGCACACCTTTTAATCCCAGCACTTGGGAGGCAGAGGTAGGCAGATCTGTGTGAGCTTACGGCCAGCATGGTCTACAAAGAAAGTCCCAAACAAGTCTGGGTTACACACCTTGTCTCTGTAAACCAAAATAACAAACAAACAAAATTTGGATGAGTGCTGGAGAATTGGCTCAGTTGTTAAGAACACTGCTCTTCCAAAGGACCTGGGTTCCATTCCCAGCACTCACATGGAGCTCACAGCTGTCTGTAACTCCAGTTCCAGGGGATCTGGTTCACTCTGCAGACACCAGGTATACATGGGATGCACCTGCATCCAGGCAGGTGTAAGCATACAGGCGGGAAAAATACCCACACACAAGGTAAAAATAAAGTTTTAAAAGAATGTAGCTGACAGGAATATATCTTTAGATTTGCTGGCTGAAAACAGACCTAATGAGGTACCCTTGGACAGTTTCCAAACTAATTTGTACTTAGATATATTTTATAGAAATCTTCTCTTAATTCTCTAATGAATGAAATGTACTGTGCCTATCATTGGGGTCTCAGTATCATTCAATGAGTTAGTTGTTGCCCCCTTTTACACTTATTTGGAATGTATGGACATTTGATGGTATGGGAAGACATTTGATGTTCTCTGAGAAAATATGTGTGCAGTTACATTTCAGTTTAATGTTTAGCCATAAAGTTGCTAAAGGAGCTTAGTGGTCCTTCCTATGTTTGCAGTGTGGAAAGATGCTTGGAGTTTTGATGTTCTCTGAAGCTTATTTGCACCTAAGTTTTCTTCAGAAGGTCACACACTCACGTGAGGTCAGTTAGAGGCTTTAAGCTGATGCTGTGCATATTAGTATTATATTAATTATATATTAATATAACATATGGCATTAATATTAGCATATTGTTATGCTAATGAAACTTAAAATGGCCATAACATGACAGGTTTTCTAGGAAGATGGAAGTTTTACCACTGTTGATTCAAAAGTATTAGATTGAGCCTTGTAGAATTGCTGTCTTTAATAGTCTAAGAGTCACTGCCATGATTCATGTGACTTAGCCCAACCACTTCCATTAGCCTGACAGGGAAAGGGCACCACCCAGCAATAAATCACTGACTAATGCCTTGAGTGAGATCTGCACATGGTTCTTGATGCTCACAGTGGAGCTTGTGTGGTGTGTGAGCAGCAGGCTCCCATGGGTTCTGTGGTGTGTGAGGAGCAGGCTCTCAGGATCTTTGAAGACCTGCTGTCTCTCTTTGGAGCACACTGCAAAGCTGGTAGTGCCGAGCGTGGCACCGTCTCTTTCAGGGCTGGTGGGAAGCTATTTGATGTAACTCTTGACTATTTGTCTTGTAATCATCTGTAGTGTTTCCAAATTGAGCCTAAGAAATTGTTTTTGTTGTTGGTTTCATTTCGTTTTGTTTTTGAGGTAAAGGGAAGCCCTTGGGGTGATTGTGAAGCAGGTAGAGGGGCATGCGTGCAGAGTGCAGATCCATGCTGCCTGCAGATATTCTCTGGACTCTCCAACCCTTGAGTTTGTTTGCCGTTCACTTCTGTGTGAGAAGTGGTGTTCAAAGAGGCTGAGTAAAGCTGGGGAGCGACAGTGTGGCTGCTGGCCTGGCCTGGGTGCTGTTTGCCAGCTGCTGACTCGTATTGTCCGTATCTGCAGACATTGTCTAGGAACTACTAAATCCTTTCTTAAATGCGCTAAAGACTCAATATGTAGTCTCTCTATGCTTGGAATTCTGTGGCTCTAAGAACATGATTTTAGCAGAAACCTATTACTAATGTGAAGTGACCCTGAACGTAGAACTAGAGCTTAAGCCCTCAGCGTGAGTTGTGAGAAGCAGGGGTTCTCACTGGCTGTGCACTCAGCCCTGCTGAAAATGAAAATTGTGAGGAGATGAGATTCTGTGTGACCTGTGAGTGTGCTGCGCTCATTAACACAGTAGGTGTGTGCAGTCACTCTTGTAACTATACTCTTGAGGGTTTGTCATAATCTGTATTAAAATAAGCAGAGTCGAGACACCAAGGAGTCTTCTGTAACATAGTGGGTTCCAATGCTGTTTCAGTGTGTGACAAGTAACTCACCCTCCTTTTTCCATAGGCACAAAGCCTGACTCCCCAGGACTACAATCTGAGGTGGTCAGGCCTTTTGGTGACAGTGGGGGAAGTCCTGGAAAAGAGCTTGGTAAACGTCAGCCGGACTGATTGGCACCTTGCTTTCACTGGCATGTCTCGCCGACAGATGATCTACAGCGCGGCCAAGGCTCTGGCGGGCATGTATAAGCAGCGCCTGCCACCCAGGCCCATGTGAGACCAGCTGCTGGGAAATGGAGACCTGCCATCACCCTTGGCTGTGTGCTAGTGGAGACTGGATAGTTCCAGAGAATCCAACAGTTTTTACAATTGTCCTTTTAAAAGAATAAACAATTAAATAAAGGCACAGTGTCATTCCAGTAAAACAGAAGAAGTAGATCCTCTTTTCACTGTCATGATTTCATACGTTCTAGTTCCCCCAAAATATATACATATATTTACAGCACAATTCAGTATACCAAATTTATAACGCGGAAACCATGTTCACAAATGGATGATTGTTCTTGGCTCTTCTGGTTTCTTAAGAACATGTCTGTGTTACCTGCCCTGTTAACCCTGTTGTCATCTGTGTGTGCACATGATCTCAGGTTTGGCGGTGAGCAGTGCACATGCTCAGCAATGGACCTGACATGCTTGCTGGGGCATGGGGGTTGTGCGCATTTCCTTGTGTTTTATAAAATATGGGCCAAATTAACAGAATGGATAGTTTTTGTCATTATGTATGTATAGTTTAGAAGTTAGACTGGTTTCCTTTTTGTTTTAAACTTTGGCATTTTGCAGATCCATAACTATGAACATCAGAAAATAATGTTTTATTTTTCTTCATTGCTATGTGAGAACTAAAGGGCAGATCATCCAAATCTATTTTAGATAAGATATGTATTTGTGATTTTATTGTTGTTGTTGTTGAGATTTTTTTTTAAAAAAAATTGTGTATTGATGTTTTACTTGTATGTCTATATACCATGTGCACAGTGACCAGGGAGGCCAGAAGAGGGCATCAGACCCTGAAACTGGAGTCACAGATGGTTGTGAGCAACCATATCGGTGCTGGGAATCGAACCTGGTTCTTCTAGAAGAGCAATCAATGTTCTTAACCCCTGAACCATCTCTCCAGCCTTTGTGTCATTTGTGGAAATTGGCACTTCCACAAATCGGCTGTCATGACAGCTGTTCCTCCTGCATCTACTCACTGTCTCCAGACTCTAAGAGGGGATCCCCTTCTCTTGGGATGGTATGTGTTTTCTTTAGTGAAAGTTCCCTTTTTTATTATTTGAGAAGTTCATGCAGTGTGTTCTGATAACACTTGTCTCCCTCCCCTTCCCCTCCATGCTCCCCTTCTTGTCCTCTTTACCGAGTCCAGTTTGTACTGCCCAAATAGGTGTTAGGCTGTCAACCAGTTGACCTATGAGGGACTACACCCTTGAAAACTGACTATCCCTCAGAACCCATCAACTGCCAATAGCTCCCCAGTTTGGGGGCGGGACTCATGGGCTCACTCCTGTTTGATGTTGATCAACTGGATCTTGTGTATATCTAAGGTTGTTTCCTGGTTTGCCTTAAGCACAGCTTGACTTTTCTAACTGTGCCCTTCTGCCTTTATTTCTTATGGATGTTTTCAAGGGAATGATTTTATATCCGATATAGTTTATTTAATCCATTGCATTTAACGAATGCTTTTTTTTCTCCCTGAAATAATATATTTTACCATTTGGGGATTTACATAAGTCAAAATTAAGTAAAAAATTTTCTTACACAGTTTAAACTCTATATATGCAATTCAGATATCTTCGTGAAGATAATTTGGTACTGAAATGTAATTTAACTTTCTTTTCCTTGTTGATACAGTTCTGTAGATGCCAGAGTTAGTCGACTCTACACTCATCCTCTGTCCTTCCATGTACAGTGTGCTGTGCCATAGTGCTTTCCAGTAATGACATGATTTCTCATACTTTTCCAGAAGGAGAATTATTACTTTTGAGGTGGGTGTTTGTTAATCCCCAAGTACTGTGTGCGGTGCTTAGTTAGACAGGAAGGAAGTCTGTGGCCGTGGTGATGTGCCTGGCCAGAGTAAATCGGCCACAGTGCCTCTCAATGCTTCTTCGTGCACAAGAAGCAGGGGTCTTTCTTTACCACTTGCTGCTGTGCTGTTTTTAAGAGCTGTCCTTTGGGTCGGGGGATCTAGGCCATGATGGAACACTAGCTGATGTCAGGCCCTAGGGTCAATCCCTGGAAAACACACACACACACACACCAGGGGGAACTGTCTTGTCTAGCAGCATTTGATGGGGTGTTGCCTGGGTAATAGTATTTTATTATACTCCAAAGGCAAGTTTTACAGACCTTGAAGGTACCCTGTTTTTCCCTTGTCTGGTTGAGTCTGCATTACCTTAGTTACTGTTTCAGAGGGTCGTTCCAGTAGAATCACTGGGGTCACTGACATCTCATTGGGTGATGGTTTCCTTGAGTCCTAATTAACAGTGGCAGACATGCCATGGTTTGGCTGAAACTGGATAATTGTCGTTACCTAGTCTGCCTACTGTGAGGAAGGGAGGAGGAGGAGTGACGGGCTGATGGAAGAGAGAACTATTTGATCCAGTCTGATCTCTCTGTAGACAGGTTATCTGGCCTAGAATTCTCTCTGGAGGATGTCAGAGCAGGCTGACTCTACCGGCTTGTTTCCCTGACCCTTGTCTTCTGAGGACCCCTGCTCAATCTGCCTGGTGACATTTAGGCCTGAGCAGTCCAAAACCCCGGTTTCCTTCCCGGCCCTTCTGTTCCTGTGCCCTTTTCTCCTGCCTGTTTTTGTGTCCCTCCACGCTGGCATTTTTAGTGAGTTTGTGGTGGTGGTTGTATTTATCAGTAGGAAAATAAAATTTAAGATCAGCCTTACGAGACTGTTCAACTATTTAGTTCCAAGGATTCAGTTTTGGTTGCTTTCCTTGTTTTCCCCTAGCTTGGTTTATTTGTAACAATGCTAGGCAGAGCCTCATTTACTCTGGGCAAGCGTTCTCCTGAAGGGCCACAGCCCCAGGTCCCTCCTCAGATTTGAGACTACTCTGGACAGAAGAAACTGTATCAAGGACTTCTGAAGTTGGAAACATTTTAGAAGCTGGAAGTTCTTTCTACTGATTTCTGTGTTGTTTTTCATTCTTCCTTCCTCAATCTTTAGAGAGAAGATGCTGCCATCTTAAGTGTAGGCAGGTAAGAAAACAAATGAAAGCACACACTACACCTGTTCTGAATTATGCAAATTAGCAGTTACTCAGGGTCAACTCAATACTTCAGCCTGCCCTTTAGTTTGCTCTTGCTATTTGGCAAAAAAGAAGAAAAAAATCAAAACTATACTAAAACTAAGGTCAGTGATTTGTGAAGCCAAATTGATAATCTGTTGTAAAAGTTGTTGAGTTAAACATAAATTATTATGAAATGTAGATTTTTTTCCCTAGGATATTGTATTCATTTTGTGATATTATGTAGAGTGATATATTGGATAAAATCAATTTTGTAAGTATGTAAATATGTCAAAAATAAATACTTTGACTTCTCAAAGGTGTGCGGTGATTTAAATGCTAATTTGTATTAGTATATTAGAGGGCCAGATACTCCTTTTTGACTCTAAATTGGTTACCAGCTTCTACACATGACCAGATCTTAAGCTCCTTTTTTTTTTCTGGAGAATTTTAACATTCAGATGTGCCAACCTCCAACTTGGAGGCTGGAGAACTCAGTATAGAGAGAAGACCTGTGGGAGAGACAGGAAGTGATGGGAAGCCAGGGGCTCATGAAAAGCCCTGGTGCCTCAGCAGAACTTCTCCTTTCTCTCCATACCTGTCCTTTTTATTTTATTTTATCTTATTCTTATTTTTTGTAATTGTTTTAGGATCAGCAATATTAATTGGGGAGAAAGGTACAGGGTTTTGAATTTCACCCATCTCCACAAGTCTTTTATCCATTAAGTTTATTTTCTGTTGGCCGTCTACTGCTCGGTTGGCCCTTAAGTGTGGTTTGTGTACCCAGTGGGACTCCATTGGAGAAAACCAATTTTCCCTTTGCGAGTAGTTTCTGGATCAGTAGAAGGGTCTTAAGGTGTTCAGATATATCTAAGAAATCTAAATGGACTCACCAAATAACTGGGGAGAACAAGCCTCAACTAGACATCTCTCATCACCAAATGAAGTATCCATTGTCAGGCATGGATTACATCTGATGAATTGTTGACTAAAGAGGTCCCATGGGAACCTGCAAGCGACCCAGACAATTGTCAAGGCAGTGGCTCTACACAAATTGGTGGTAAGGCTCTATTCCTGATGATACCTGTGTAACTGAACGCATGGAAGTTGATCTGGCACTTTCCTAGAGCCTTCACCCCTACTGATTAATATTGACAACTAGTCTCACCTTCTTGGCTCCTCTGTGCCCCTTTCAACCTCAAGACAGTGTATTGTCCAGCCAGGCATTGCACCCTGAATCTGACGCTGTGGAAGAGGGTAGTGTGTGTGTTGTGGATAGATAAGTGTGTTGGAATCAGGTGCTTCGGAAGCAAGATGAGAAAGTAGCCCTTCACTTATACACTTTTTTCCCCAACTGACTTGGCTCTGGTGCACGTATAGAAGGTAAGAGGAAAAAATAATGAAATGACCTATTAATAAAAACCACACTTCCCCCATGCTTTTTCTATGAAACTGAGGCACGGTAGACATGTTTCTGTGAAGTAATACTTGACCACCGAATAACCTTCCATTAGTTAGAAAGAAGGCATTAGTTAATGTCAAATGCAGATGGAAATGTATGTGTGTATAAGGGCTGTGGAGAAAAGAGATCTGTTCAGTGTGAGCTCGGAGCTAGACTTTCCGGTCCTTATTTTTGCAGGAAGATTAAATCCTCTTTGCCATGTACGTGTGTATATTGTATATGAGATGGACAGATAGGTGGAAAGGTATAGGTATACAATAGCTAGCTAGATGGCCCTGCCTCCCCTCACCAGCTGCAGCGCTGGGCAGAGTGGCCCCAACACCTTGCCTAGGCAACACAGCAGAGCTTGCCCTGGTGATGTAGGTGTGGGCAATCAGAGGCCAGGAGAGCAGGAGAAACAGCTCTGCCCCTTGCTGCTCACTAGCGTGAGCTAGCCTAGCCAGGGTAGTGCTGGGGGACTCATCTTGGTGTTGAAGATGAGGGAAAGAAAACTGGGGGATTGACCAAACCCATCAACCACCAGACCCAGAACTAACCAACCTATAAACCACACAGACCCAGAGCTAGGTCTACAAGTTGACCCATCCACCCATCTATGATCTGCTGGAGCACATGAAGGGGCCATCCCTGTAGACCCAAATCTGCAGGATCTCTATGACACGGGACAACAACAGGATATCCAAGAGGAGCCCTAGTGCGGGCCCAGTATTGATGATGCAGCAACACCAGAGACCACAAAACCAGGCCAACTCATTGCAGTGAGCACTCGTGAGTAGCGGTATATGAACTCAGGGACTGTGTGTCCCGCTCTGCCACACTACAGCTTCCACAGTGAGAGTTTTCTTCTTTTTTCTTTTAAATTTTATGTTTTATCCTGGTGGGGGATGGTTTGCAAAGGTAGAGAGTGGTCGGTTGAGATGCATGATGTGAAATTCAGAATCAAGAAAAAGTCAAATTTGGGAACAACAACCAGCTAGCTAGAACTGTATCCAGCGGCATTCGGCAGTGTTTGAGGACTCTTTCATACCATATTGCAGATACCTCCGGTGTCTTCTTTAGTTCACCTTCTGTGAATGTTTACTACTACCTCATTTTGTAAGCCAAACACCAAGACTGCATTACTGTGTCGCCTAAAGCCACACAACTGGGAAGAGGTAGAACAGAGATTCAAGCCATGTCCTGTTGGTTGCTGAACCATATGCTCTTTCCAGCATGTGTTTTGTGTGGTGACCTATAGATGAAATAAACCTTAAAGGTTAGATCCATGTATCTCAACCACATGTATGCATTTTGATACATTACTCTCTTTACACACATGTGGGGAACTCTGGGATGTGTGCACAAAAATAAGTCTGGTGTTTTGCTCTGTAGCAGACTGCAATGCTCCCTTAGTGGTGCCGTCAAAGCACTCTGGAGGCTGACGTGGTACCCACTAGGCTGGGGGTGTTTCCTGAAGATGACACTCTATGTCATAAAGGAGGGCCAGGGGCCACGACCTAGAGATAAATTGTCACTGTAGGACAGGGTGGACAGTGTACTGAAGGAGGGGAGAGAAAGTGGAAAGAAACCCACTGGGTCACGTCTTTCTTAAGGTGGTCAGACCGTCAGCAGGGGGTTACCTCATGGAAGATGGCTAGTAGCGGTTTAACAAATGAATGGCCAGGGAGAGGGACTCTGGTTTGGGAGGGGAAGAAAAGCCATCCCTGTGGGAAGTGGCTAAGATGGTTTGCAGCAATGGTGTCAAGACTGCCACATGGAAGCCAGTTTGGTAGTGATGCTACAGGGAGAGAAGGAATGGGGAAGACAGCATGGCCTTTGCCTGAGGATGGTGGCGGCCATCAACACAGGTGCAGGCACAGACCAAAGAAGGGAGGGGAGAGGAGCTTACAGTGTTCCCTGTGGAGAAAACAGCTGTGTTGATACTCTTTGGTCCTCTGCTGACCTGAAAGGAGCTGAGCTCACAAAAGGGTACATACTCTGTTCCAGCTGATATTGTGGCATGTTCAGAACCACTCTAATGCCTGATATACAGGAGCTGAGAGGATTGGGTGATTTGGGGAGCATTTCTGACTTGCTTGAGGGAAACCCTCAGCTCCAAGTCAGGGAGTTCCCCAGAGACACAGGTGGAAAACTCCCCTTTACTTTTTAAGAAAAATGAGACTTCAAAATCATGGGGGATTCCTAACCTGTAAAGCCCAGGATGCAGCCTGACAGCCAGCCAGCTAAGTTAGAAAGGCGCTCCAACACAGGCCTCTCGATCCCTCTCCACTACCAGAAATATAGGTTGCCTCAACTTTAATGCTGCTGAAGAGCTGGCATGCTGTCACTAGAGGGCGCCAAGTGCCCGTAAAATATCTAGGCACGGGGCAGAAACCATTTTTACTATCCAACACAAGGACTCTTAAAAGGTGACTCCCCCACTTCTATCCATAGTCGCCCCCCTTCTGCTACTGAAGGAAAGAAGCACCCTGCTGGGAGCCGATTTGAATGGCTGCCATTACAAGATGGCATTTGGCCCCGGCCTTGCTTGATACCATAATAGAGATTGCAGCTCTTCCACCAGAAAACAGGGTGAGTTGTTGTGATCTAGCTGCCCACACTCCCCCTGACCGGCAGGGGAACTTCCTTGTGGTATATAATTGACAAGGATGTTCCCCTGCTTTCTTTCCGGCAGGTGGGTCTCCAGAAAAGCAGTTAAAGTATCAAAGTATCAAAGGTTGCTAGGCAGACTCCCTGTATAAGCAGCTACAGCTCAGAGCTCTGGCCCCTTGCTTTCTGCTCTCCCTTCAACCAAGAGGCTCCAATAAAGCGTGATTTGGGAAGAATCCTGGTCTGGTGGCTGTTCCTTCCTGCTGGCCAGGGAGTTCGCCGCATCTGGTGCCGAAACCCGGGAAGTTCACTGCAGCACCCCAGTTGTCCTCTGGATCTAGTAAGTAGGAGACTAGAAGACCCTATGCTTTTCACAAGATCACAAGACTACGTATTAATTTTGCAGTTGTTTTCCTGACTCTTCTTATGGACTCATCTAATCTGTGTGTTGATTTTATTATTGATATTGTTATTGATATTATTATTATTATTCAACAGGAAGAAGGAACTTCAGTTGAGAAAATGTCTCCATCAGATTGACTTGTAGGCAAGCCTGCAAAGCATTTTCTTAATTAATGGTTGGCAGGAGAGGGCCCAGCTGCGTGCGGGCAGTGCTACACCTAGGCTGGTGTCCTGGGTGGTGCAAGAAAGGAGGCCAAGCAAGCCATGTCAGTAAGCACTGCTCCTCCATGGTCTCTGCTTCCGTTCCTGGCTTGAGCTTCTGCCCTGGCTTCCCTTCATGAAGAGCTGTATGAAGCTGCAGGCTGGAATGAACCCCGCCCTCCCACATTGCTGTTTGGTTATAGTACTTCTCAGTGATAGAAAGCAAACTAGGACCATGTGTAAAGCCGCCATGAGTTGTTTTTCAAATTTGTTTACTGTCCTGCAACAAGAGCTGGGATCTATAGTTATCCTCTATATGACAAAACTGTAAAATATAGCATGTGGAGTGTCCTTAGGCCTCTGTGGAGCCTGTGAGTTACACTGTTCTCCAGTGGGGAAAGAATAGGTGCTCAGACAGCAGCTTAGGGGATGCTGTGTGGAGCTGTGCAGACACAGATACCCCGAGGAAGCAGCGTGTGCTCCGGCTTCCATGGCTTTACCAGAGAGAATGGAACTCTGTGCTAGCTGTGTTTGCGTTTACGCACGCAGAAAGTGGACTCACCGTAGCCTGTCTGTGATATTTTTCTCAGTCCCTATTCTTTATCTAATAATAAATAAATAGGGAAAGAATGGGAAGTTAAAAAAAAAAGAAAGTGAACATTCAC